TGTGATATGTGAAGGCTGCGTACGCGAGGTGACGAGTGAGTACAATGGCTAAATGTTAAAATTTCGATTGTTGCTACGTAGTTTCCTTTTCATGCCTTAATTGAGTTACTTTACCACATTATAGTCATCATGTTTAGCCTAATTTCACATGTCTACTTGTCTTATCTCCTATTTGCAACTTGTATCACATGTTTAGTTGAATTACTTGCTTTTCTTGATTTTCGTATTCATTACTTAACTATGAATATTCTTTACTAGAAATTGCTATCCTTGAACTATCATTTATTTAGTTGTTGTGTTTTGGATTTTGTGTTATTGTTGAGGTGATTTTTTGGTTGTGTGCATGAGGTTTCTGCCGTGCTGTTGTTATTGTTACATGGGATTTCTATCGTGCGGTTGTTATTGTTTGCACGAGGTTTCTGCCATGCGGTTGTTATTGTTGCACGAGGTTTCTGCCATGTCGTTGTGATTATTGATATGCATGCAGTGGTATAAGGTCTGGGTGTTGAAACGCATGCGGTGAGATAAGGTGGGCTTGATATGTGTGGCTGGTAGGGGAACTACTAGAAGCCAAGCAGTGTGATAAGGTGGGCTAAAATGCGGGATGTTATTTCGGGAAAATGGTTTTCAAAAACCAAATATAAAGGCTCTCGCGGTGATATAAGGAAAGACTGTGATTTATTTTTATGATTTAGGACTACGAGGCGGTACATCGGGTGTGCCCCTATTGATATTCTTTATTTGTTATATTGTTTGGTTCTTGTTTTCCTTAACGTGTAAAATTCTTGTTTTCCTTTCGTGTGGTATTATCTTTCCTCGATTTCGTGTTGTTATTTCCCGTAAACTCTTTATTGTTCACTTCCCTGTCATTTCCATTATATCATTATATCTTCTGACTTGTTTCTTATTATCTCTAATAGGGCCTTGACCTGACCTCGTCACTACTCTACCGAGGTTAGGCTTGGCACTTACTGGGCACCATTGTGGTATACTCATACTACGCTTCTGCACATATTTTGTGCAGATCCAGGTACATCCTATCAGCCTCGGTATTAGTGCATTGTGTTGCTGCTTGGAGACTTCAAGGTACACCTGCCCGCATCCGCAGGCCTCAGAGTCCCCTTCTACCTTATTTTCCTTATTTCTTTATGATTTTTATAGACAATGATGTATAGGATTGTGCAGCATTGTATCTAGATCTTGTGACTCATAACTCACCGGGTTTTGGGAAATTGTATGTATTGAGCTTATAGTCTACTGATGAAATTGTTGAATTTATGAAATTTTAAGTTTTTATTTGATGTTTCTGCATATTGATAGGCTTACTTAGTCTTAGAGACTAGGTGCCGTCATGAAATCCTACGGAGGGGATTTGGGGTCGTGACATCTTTCAATATGCTTGGTTTGTTAGTTTATCAGGTTCTGGCTTACTCCTCTTGCGTGACTTTGAGCTGGTGGATCATTACCCATCCCTGTCCGTGAGCTGAATCCATTATTTGTGTCGACCATTCCTTCTTTGGTGCCCCCATTGTTTGCTAGCTTGGTGGCTGATTTTGCTCTCACCGCTGGCCATCCTTCTGTTTGTGCTCCATTTGGAATAGCCTGTGCTTTGTCATTATTTTCTTTTCCAACAGTTGGCTGGACATTACCACTTATCCTCTGTGCTTGAGTACCATGTTTATCAGCTATCTTCAAAACATGGTCGTTCATTCTCCATACTTTCACAGGCTTTGGGTTCTTTCCTTTCTGTGGTTGTATAGGCTGCTTCTGCATATTTACAGCCTTACAGTTATGTCCTATTTGCGAGCATGCAGCACAATTTTCAGGCTCCCAGTCATATGCCACTTCCAGTTCAATCACACCACCCTTAGGGTCTTTCATTGTGATGCATTTAGGTAGCAGTCTTATGACATTCATTTCAATGAGTACTCTAGCATATGATATGCGTGCAATATTTGTAGTGCAATAATCAATGTATAAAGGACTACCTAGTCCACTGCTGATTTTGCTCAATGATTTCCCTCCCCAACAGCTTAGAGGTAGGTTTTGGAATTTGACCTATATTGGAATAGTTTTAAGGATTTTATTTTTGAAGTTCAAATCTGCAGACCACTCCTTCATTATCACATGCCTGTTTTTAATTGTATTGGATCCTGAATACAGTACCTCGTTCCTCTCCTCCATGCTCTTGAATCGAATGATGAAGTAGTCATCGTTGTGATAGTATATCTGGGGATTTCCTGCAAGTTTTTAATGTATTGTATGAAATCTCTCCACTGCTCCCATTGATGGGGAATCTCCAATGACATATAAGATAATAGCCAATTTTTATTTCTCACTTTCCTCTTCAATGTTCTTCTGATTAAGTTTAACAATTTTCTTTCATTCCTATATGATAGGAGCTACATACCTTAGATTCATGCCTTTTGATGCCAATTTGTTCCATGTCACAACATTGGCGTAGGTTTGTGTACTTCTTTTCCCACCAGGTAGGTCAATTTAATATTTTTCTTTGTACCCTATGGGCCTCGGCATTCTCATTGCCCTTTAACTTATTGCTTCTAGGCTCCATTGGTGTAGTAGGGTTTTCGTGGATTTGAATAGGTATAACACCGGATATCCAATGGGATAGGCTGTCCAACGAGACGAGACGGGACGAGTAGGTCCGGCCCATCCCGATCCCGGTCCCGGTCCCGTACAGTCCCGGCCCAATAAATATTAAACGGGACTAGGCCTATATTAAATGGGACATAGGATGGGACGGGCTACCCATTTTGTCCCGGTGGGCCGGCCCATTAAGGTCCCGTCTCATCTCGTCCCGTCCCGCCAGCCTGCCAATTCGAGAACAATGTCCCACAAAAATTATAGATCAGTTACAACAAAACTATATAGGAGCTTACAAATATTAGTATGATAATTTGTAATAAGCTACTAAGAGGCCTAATTAAAACAGAACCCTTCCTAGAAGGTGGCTGCGTAGATTAGGTGCTCTTCAAAAGACTTGTATTTGTATGTGAAATTTGAAACCTCTATTAATAAAATAAAAGGCTTTAGCCTTGAATTTGTTTTATGAATTATCTTACTTAGTTACTTTATACCTTGAGATTATATTAAATAAATTACAAGTCTACTATAATTACTAAAATATTTTGTCACAAGTCTTTAATATTTTATAATTTTTTACTTAGTTTTTTTATAATTTATTAAGTTTTAAGTTTATTAAAAAGGTCAAAAAAACTAGTCGTTGCAAACTTTAAAAACTTAGTCATTGACAACTTTAAAAAAATAATTGTTGCTATCTATAAAAAAAAAAATAGCAGTTGCAAATTTAATGCTTAATATTTAAATAATTTTTTTAAAAGGCCCACTTAGGGCCCACGTCCGTCCCGTCCCGTTTGTTAGTGGGATGGGATGGGCCTGCCGTCCCGTCAGCATCCCGGTCAAAGTCCGTCCTGTTCTGTCCCGTCCAGATAATTTCGTCTCGTCCCATCCCAACCGGTCCCGTTGGACAGCCTTACCATTGGTGTAGTAGGGTTTTCCTTGATTTCAACAGGTTTAACACCAGATGTACCCACTGCATTACTAGTAGTACCGCCATTGCCAACCTTGCCGCATGTGCTTGGGTTAGTGGAATTAGCTATTGATTCCCCCTTCCCAGTACTTGGCGTGTCCACAAGCCCCTGTTTACCCAATTAACTAGTCTTGTCCACCGGTGTTTGTTTCTCTATAGCTCCATGGGAATTTTCCCTAATTGGTGATTTTCCATTTCCAAATCCAACCTTCAATTCCTCGAGTAGCACGAGATCTGTCAACAGAATTTTGTTCGCCCTCTTCCGCGGCCGTCCTCGCCCTCCCATTTCGGTAACCTACGTAGTAGTAGAATCACCTAAACAAGCGCCGAGAGAGAAATGAGAGAGTTTCAGACCAAAAAATGATGATATACTCTTACTTAACTGAATTCTAATAGTGTTATTTATATATTTACATCTATTAGTTTTGTAAATATATAAATCAAATCAACATAATTAAATTTTATATATTATCATTAGCAGGTATAAATCATAAAAAAAATTAGATGATATCAATAGTTACAACAATTATATTGCAATAATAAATCGTAAAGTTGTGTTATTTGCGCACCATGATAAATAATACTACTCCATATTATTATTGAAGAAATCGAATAGTACTTTTTGAGTTGATCACTTTATAAGATACTCTTAAAGATATAAGTTATAATAATAAAGATAATAAAAATAATAATAATAATAATAATAATAATAATAATAATAATAAAATAATAATAATAATAATAATAATAATAATAATAATAATAATAAATAAACAACAAGAACAACAGCAACAGCAGCATCAACACCACCACCACCAACAACAACAACAACAACAATAATATTAATAATAAGTTGATGGTTTTAGAAATACATTAAGTTTATTAATTGAAAATTTTCATTTAAAATAATACCCTTCACTATTATTACTCCTGTTTTTAAAAATTTGATTATCTTTCAATTCAATTTTTTTCTAATTTCAATCAAATTCAAAATTACTTTATCTAATTCAAAAAAATTATCTTTTAATTTAAAATTTCTTTTTATCGCATAGTCCAATAGGTATTGTCTTAAAATTGTCAACTTCCTTTTTATTAGTTTGCCACTTGACTTAACCTCTATATGAGAGAGAGATATTCTAGTATAACAAATGAGATAATATTTTCATGAAATTTTAGTTTTATAAATCGATACTCTCCCTTTTGGATAGAAAATGATTTTCTTGAAAAATATTTTCTGCAGTCAAACTAAAAGTAAATTTATTTTCAGAAATAATTTTCTCTAAAGTATATTTCTTGTCATACTACAAAAAACTTGATGGAGTAGTTTAGACTGAATCTCGAATAATAGTAAAGGATAAAATGAAAATAGCTAAAAATATTAAGGTGTTTTTATGTAGATGTAAAAATATAAAAGAGAAATCATCGACCAAACTACAAATAGAAACTTCGGAATCCGACATGTCAGACTTCAACTACTCCTATAACGAACGGAAACTTCCTATCTCACGGCGGCTTCTCTCCTACGCGCCTTTCTGATTCTATATTTCAGACATTTAGTCCTCATCCAAGTCAATTTGGTGAAAAGAAATTCTATCTTTTTCACTTCTTCGGCAAATTTAGCGTAGAATAAATCGTAAGGGCTATTTTAGGTTCGATGTTGGACGATCATCAGCGAGAGAAACACGCAATTGGATTTATTGCTGTTCGATCTTCTACTCAAGGCTTTGATTTTAGGAGCTTCAGAAAAGGAAAAATGGAGAAAATGAAGAATATATTGAAGCCGAAGCCGAATCCGCAACAGCTTTTGAGAGATTGGCAACGTCGCCTCCGACAAGAGTGCCGAAATATCGAACGCCAAATTCGAGGTTTTTTTTTTTTTTTTTTTT